TTATGAGGAATGTTGGTCTGTAGTTTTTTGGGGGTAATATTTTGACTAGATAACTCCTAGAGTGGGAAGATTTTCCCTCTTTTTTAGTATCCTGAAGGAGTATACATAGAATTATCATTTTTTCCTTGAATGCTTAAGAGAATTTTAAATGTTTACTAGAAATTAAAATGAAATAGAAATGTGTAATAGAATTTTTCAGTGAAGCTACCTGGGACTGGTATTTCTTTTTCTTTCTTTTTTTTTTTTTTAGGAAGGTTTTTAATTACAAATACAATTTATTTAAATAGATAGAAGGCTATTCAGGTTAACTACTTTCTTTAATAATGTTTCTATTTCATCTAAATTGTTTATTGGATTAAAGTTGCTATGAGGGGCACCTGGGTGGCTAATTCCATTAAGTGTCTGTCTTCTACTTAGGTCACACGATCCCAGGGTCCTAGGCCACACATCATCTGACTCCCTGCTCAGTGGGGAGCCTGCTTCTCTCTCTCCCACTGCTGCTCCCCCTTCTAGTGCTCTCTCTCTGTCAAATAAATAAATAAAATCTTAAAAAAATAAAGTTGCTATTATATACTGCGCTGTCCTTTTAATAGTTGTAGAATCTGTAGTGATGTCACCTCTCTCATTCCTGGTATGGGTAGCTTGCTATTTCCTTCTTTCCTGATTAGTCTGGCTAGTTTTATCACATTTATTACTCAAAGAATTATCTTTTAGTTCTATTGATTTATTTTTTTTCAGTTTTCTATCTCATTGATTTCTGCTCTGATCTTTATTATTTCCTTTTACCTACATTGTGTTTAATTTGTTCTTCTTTTTCTAGTATGTTAAAATAGAAAATGAAGTCATTGAGATTAATTTCTCTGCTAATACAGTATTTGGTTCTATAAATTTCCTTCTGAATACTGCTTCAGTGGCATCCCATAATTTTTATATTTTTTCACTTTCAGGCTAAACTACTTTCTAATTTCTTCTTTAATCCATGAGTTATTTAGAAATGTATATGTTTCCAAATATCAGAGAATTATCCATGTATTTCTCAGTTTTTGATTTCTAATTCAGTTTCATTGTGGAAAGAGGCTTGTTTTTTGGTCCAGAATATGTTCTGTCTTTGTAGATGCTCCATGTGCACTTGAAACTTTTTTTTTTTTTTTGCTGCTGTTGGTTGTAGTGCTCTGTAAATATCAATTAGCTCAAATGACAGTGTTTTTCAAATTTTATGTTTTAGCTTATTTTCTGTCTACTTGCTCTATCAATTACTGACAGTGGTATTGGAATATCTGACATTGTGGAATATCTGACATTGTGGATTTTTCTTTCTTCCAGTTTAATCAGTTGTTTCATGTATTTTGAAACTATTGTTAGGTGAATAAACATTTTTGATTGTTATTTCCCCCTGATGAACTGACCATATTATTATTAGAAATTATTTTTGTTTTGTTCTGAAATCTACTTTGTAGACATTAATACAGTTAGTCCAGTTTTCTTTTTTTTGACAGCTTTATTGAGCTATAACTCACATGTCCTACAATTCACCTATTTAAAGTGTACAATTCAATTTTTGGTGTATTACATTATTTAAATTTTATGTTACTATAAAATGTGTAACAAAACTTGCCATTTTAACAATTTTTAAGTCTATAATTCAATGGCATTAAGTGCATTTGGAGTATTACACAATCACCAACATTATCTATTTTCAAAGTTTTTGTCACCCAAAATGGAAACTGTAATCACTAAGCATGCTGGGCAATCAACTCTCAATTTCTTTCCAAAGCCCCTGGTAACCTCTATTTTCTTTCTCTATGAATTTGCCTAATCCAAATATTTCATATAAGCAGAATACAATATTTGTTCTCTGTGTATACGACTTATTTTAGTTTGCTAATTTTTTCGAGGTTTATCCATGTAGTAGCATATTATCAGAACTTTATTCCTTTTTATGGCTGAATAGCATTTTATTCTATGTACATACCACATTTTATTTATAATGCTATACTGAACACTGGAATACAAGTATCTGTTCAAGTCCTTGCTTTCAATTACTTTGGGAGTAGAATTGCTGGGTCATGTGGTAAATCTATGTTAAACTTTTGAAGAATTACGAAACTGTTTTCCATAGCATCTGCACCATTTTATATTCTCACCATCATTGTACAAAGATTTCAAGTTCTACATGTCCTCATCAACATTTGTTATTTTGATACCAATCCTAGTAGGTGTATAAAGTGGTATTTCATAGTTTTATTTGCATTTCCTTAACTGCTAATAATATTAAGCATCTTTGTATATGTTTATTGGTCATTTTTGTCTTCTTTAGAGAAATATATATTCAAGTATTTTGCTCATCTTTTAATTGGGTTGTCTTGTTAAGCTTTAGGAGTTATTTTTCTGATATTAAATGCTTGTCAAACACATGCTTTACAAATATTTATACCCATTCTGTAGGCTGTCTTTTCACATTCTTGATAATGTCCTTTCCTGATAATGTTTTTAGTTTTGATGAAGTCCAATATATCTATTTTTTTTCTTGGTTGCTTGTGCTTTTGGTGTCATATCTAAGAATCCATTGCCAAATCCAAGGTCATTCTGGCTTTCTCTACACAGCATTAGCATGATTATCTTTTTCCATCCTTGTACTTTTAACATATTGATAGAGTTATATTTAATTTCTCGTAGGCACCATATAGTTGAGTCATGCTTTATGCCATCTGAAATGCTGTTTCTCTTAATTGAATGTTCAGATAAATTATATTTAATCTGATTATTGGTATAATCAGATTCTCCCATCTTGCAATTTGTTTCCCATCTGTTTTTTTTCCCTTCTTTTTCTGACTTATTTTGGATTGCATAATTTATGTAATTTGATTCCATTGTATCTCCCTTGTTGGATTATTAGCTATAACTTTTTATTTTGTTAGGTTAGTGGTTGCTATAGGGCTTCGAGTGTACATCTTTCACTTATTATAGTGTTTATTCAAGTGATATTATATTACTTCACATAGAATGTAGGAGCCTTAGGGGCACCTGGAATGGCTCAGCTGGTTAAGCATCTCACTCTTGATTTCACTCAGCTGAGTTCAAGACGCACATTGGGCTCCACACTCAGCGGAAGTCTGCTTATCCTTCTCCCTCTGCTCTTCCCTCCTGCTCCTGCATATGCTCTCTCTGTCAAGTGAATAAATCTTAAAAAAAAAAAAAAAGAATGTAGGAAACTTACTGTAGTTTATTTCCATTTACTTCTCCTGGCCTTTGTGCTATTGTTGTCATAAGATTTGCATATATATCCAAAGCTACATTGTTTTGTTTAAACAGTAATTTAGGGATCCCTGGGTGGCGCAGCAGTTTAGCTCCGCCTTTGGCCCAGGGAGCGATCCTGGAGACCCAGGATCGAATCCCACTTCGGGCTCCCGGTGCATGGAGCCTGCTTCTCCCTCTGCCTATGTCTCTGCCTCTCTCCCTCTCTCTCTCTCTGTGTGTGTGTGTGACTATCATAAATAAATAAATAAATTAAAAAAATAAACAGTAATTTATCCTTTAGTGAGATTTACTTAATAAAAAGGTCTTACATATTTACCCTGTTGTTACCATGTCTGATGCTCTTTATTCCCTTGTGTAGGTCCAGACTTCTATTTGTTATTCAATTATACATATATTTAGCCTCTAGAGGTTTCCTTTCTGCTCAGTAGTATTCTATTTGCGATTTTTAAAAGTTTATTTTGTCTGTGTATATCCCAGCACCCTGAAGAGCATCTGGCACACAGTAGGTTCTTTCTAATCAGATATCACAAGCCATCCACATGCATTAGATTAGTTCTCAGAATCTGTCACACACACTATCCTATTACACTCCTACTCCACTCTTACCAGTGTCTTTTCTATTATAACACATTTTCACAGGTAACATCACAAATGTCACACAATAACATTCTTACACATGGTCAAAGAAAACCAGCATGCCCACCCTAACACCCATAGTTTTACAGAGAAACAATGACAGAATCATGCACCAACTCACAAAATTACAGTCGGGACAGAACTTGTGGGGAGACAATAAATAAAAACTTAAGAGCAGACCTGGTGGCGCAGCGGTTTGGCGCCGCCTGCAGCCTGGGGTGTGGTCCTGGAGACCTGGGATCGAGTCCCACGTCTGGCTCCCTGCGTGGAGCCTCCTTCTCTCTCTGCCTCTCTCTCTCTCTCTGTGTGTGTCTCTATGAATAAGCAAATAAAATCTTTAAGAAAAAAAAACTTAAAATATAAACACTGTTGTTCCAAGGGAGTATAGATCAGATGAAGGCGGTCAGAGAGGTGTGATAGAAGGCCTTTTTGGAGATGTGACATTTGTATCTGAAAGGACAGGATAAAGGAACTTTGCAGATACCCAGCAGAAGAGCTATTTTAGGAAGGGGGCACACATTCACAGCCACAATCACCAAATCAGAAATACAAGAACCGTATGCAAAGGGTGACTCTCTACGCTGACTCCTCCTCTCGGCTCTTCAAGGTAACTCACTCCCCAAGCAAAAAAAAAAAAAAAAAAAAAAAACGCTCTAGGGAAGGCGGGACTGGGTGGAAGTATAATGCACCTGCGCACTCCCCTCTCTGTTCCACACTTTTTCGGGTACCCCAGCTCAATTGTAGGAGCTCGCCTCTCGCCCCGTTTGTGTGGACGCACAAACACGAACCGCTCCCCCTGCGGCTACTCGGTGCCCTAAATTCTCTGCCCCGTTACAAAGGGAGGTGGACCAAGCACTTGTGCCCGAGCACTTCAATCTCAATCCGTCTAGTTGACGCTCGACCTCCTTTCTCTGGCGGACCCTGTCTCGGAGGTGAGATTGGGGCTTCCTCTGTAAGGCCGGCGTGGGAGGACCTTGGGCGGAGGGGGCGGTGTTACGAGCCCCCAGCGGAGTCGCGCCAGTGCAGTCGGACTCTGCGGCGCCGCTTTTTCTGATCAGGACTACATTTCCCAGTGGCCCCCGCGAGCACTGGGCCGGCGGCCCCTTTGTGTCCTCCGGAGGCCCAGTCGCTCCATTCCCGGCCCGCAGGGGTGGGTTCCCATTAGACTCTTAGGGCAGGAGGTGGGCCGGAGTAGATTGCCCGAGCCTTCGGGGCGGGGACGGGATCTTCCCGCAGTTCACTTCTGCAGGTAGGGAAAGGGCTGAGGAATGGCCTGTGGGTCCCCCGGACGTCGGTTCGGTTCTCGGGGCCCTCGGTGTGACTCCAGGTGCGAGACGGTGGTTGGTTGTCACAGAGTGTGAGACTGTCATTCGAGGTGCCTGTGCACGTCCTGTCTGTGACTGGGTGCGAGCGAGTCGATGGTTGGTGCTACAGTGTGAGACGGAGTGGGGGTGGGAGGGTATTGTGTCCCCGTTGTTCCAGTACGCTCGGCCTCTTTGTGCCTGGGGTTGTGTGCGTAAATGTGGGTTGTGATACCCTCGTGTTTGAGACTTGGGGCTACGGAAGAGTGTGACGGTGTGAAACTGCCCACACACCCGGGGCCGCGGATTGTTGTGTGTGTGAGAGTGGTTGGTACTGTAGTTTTTAAGAGTATGTGGGGGACTAGTGAGACTGTGTGCCACCAATATCTTTTGAAGCTGCTGATGCCAAGTTTCAGAACCACTAGTCTGTTGGAGAGGAGAAAGACTGTGGAGTCAGGAAGACCTTTATTTGATCTTGGTACTGTTATTCATTGATTGTGTCTTTATGCAAATGATCACATTCCTTGGAGTCCTTATTTGTAAAAATCTATTGCTAAAATAATAAATTAGGAAGTGATTTAGGCATGGGTTAAATTGTATGCAAACAAATTTCTTAGGTCTCCAGTATGCTTTCTCTCTGTTGGAAGGAAGGGTGCAACAGGAGGGAAGAGAAACTGAAAAATTATAGGCTGGTGTTTCTAGATGCTGCAAGAAAATCCTAGTTTTTCATCTCAGTCATCTAAGGACACTGCCATTTCCCACGAGAAGAGCCAAGAGGAGGAAAGAATGGCTGTTGGACTTCTTAAAGCCATGTACCAGGTGAGTTGATGTGTCTATTTCCTGAAATATTTTCAAACCAAGCAGACATTAACTTTGCTTTTGCTGATACTTTTCTGGGTCGCTAATCATGTCACTTAAAACACTCCAGTAGTCGATTCCTACCTCATTCAGAATAAATTCTGAAGTCCTTGCCTTAGCCTACAAGGCCAAACATATTCTGGTCCCTGCCTATCTTTCTGAGCTCACCTAATCACTCTGTTTGTAACCACTCACTCAGTTCTAGGCACACTAGCTTCCTTCTAGTGAGCTGAGTACATTCTTTTTTTTTTTTTTTTTTAATTTTTATTTATTTATGATAGTCACAGAGAGAGAGAGAGAGAGGCAGAGACACAGGCAGAGGGAGAAGCAGGCTCCATGCACCGGGAGCCCGACGTGGGATTCGATCCCGGGTCTCCAGGATCGCGCCCTGGGCCAAAGGCAGGCGCCAAACCGCTGCGCCACCCAGGGATCCCAGCTGAGTACATTCTTAACTCATAGCCTTGCCCTTGCTGTTCCCTCTGTCTGGAATGCTGTTCCCCAAGATACAGACTAACTTTTTCATTATAATCTCTATCCAAATGTTCAGATACTCAACAAATTTTTATTGAATACCTGTCAAGAAAGAAGGCTTAGTCCTTGATCCTCTTCTCTATCTGTACTCCCTCGTTTGGTCATCTCATTCTTTCTCCTGACTTTAAATGCCATCTGTGTGCCAGCAACCACTAAATTATATATAGTCCCAGCCTCTCTCCTGAAATTCAAACTTGTACATCCAATTCTCTGCTTAGCATCTTCATTCAGTTGTATAATGATACCTCAAACTCAAACATCTCAAACTTAGTGAAACAAGCCATTGGAAGTTTAGGAGCATAGAAATGACATGATCTAATTCTCATTTAATAGAATCACTCTGGCTGCTATTGAGAATAAACTGAATGGGACAAGGATAGAAACAGGGAAACCAATTAGGAAACTTACATATTTCCCTGTCTCAGATGCTCAAGCTAAAAGTCTTCCATCATGAAGTTCTATTTGTTCTACATTCAAAGTATATCCAGAAGTTGACCACTTATACTACCAACACGGCATCCATTCTGGTTCAAACTGTCATCTCTCACCTACATTATTGCTATACTTTCCTAACTTTTCGGTCTACTTGCATCCTTCCTCTCTTTTAGTCTATTCTCAACAGAGCAGTCAAAGTGATTCTGTTACACATGTCATATTATATGATTCTTCATAGCAGGAATATAAATAATAGAAAGTATAAACAACTGTTTCAAATAATTTAGCTATAAGGGAATAAGAGAAAGGGTGGTGACTGAAGGATAAACTGTGGTCAGCAAGGTTTTTTAAAGATGGATGATCTAACAGTTCCATACATTACTCAGTGTTCATCAAGACATGCGCATTCCTAATCACCTGTTTCATCTATCTGCCCCCCATCTCCCCTCTGGGAACCATCTGTTTGTTCTCTACAGTTAAGAATCTGTTTTTTGGTTTATCTCTCTTTCCCCCACCCTTTGTTCATTTGCTTTGTTTCTTAAATTCCACATATGAATGAAATCACATGGTATTTGTTTTTCTCTGACTGGCTTATTTTGCTTAGCATAATACCCTCTAGTTTCGTCCACGTTGTTGCAAATGGCAAGATTTCACTCTTTTTTTTTTTTATTTCACTCTTTTTGATGACTAATATGTCATTGTATGTGTGTGTGTGTGTGTGTGTGTGTATATATATATATATATATAGAGAGAGAGAGGTGTCAGATATTTTAAGAGACCATTTGTTAGAAGTCAGATATTTTAAAGTAATAATTTAAGCTCATTATCTTGACATTGTCATTATTTTAATTAACTTTCATTAAAAGAATCATTGAAAAATGTGTGCCATATGTTAAAAATATTTATACATTTATTATATATATTTACATAAGTTAAGGAAAACATTTTTGGAAGCATATATGGTATATGAACCAAACTCTTAACAGGAACATTTCTACAACATATAAGGGACATTATTGGTAGGACAGAGATGAAACTCAAAAACTACATCATATAATTAAATAAGAAAAATTTACTGAGTGTTGTAAAACACTTTAATAATTTTTATTCTGTAGACAGTTTAACTATGACAAAATTGTATCAAGTGCCCAGTAAATGTTTTCTTGCCTTGACAGATTCACCTCTTCTAATTTTGTAAAAAAATTTACACACATATGTATGTGTGTGTATGTATATATAAATATATACACACACATAAACATGTATGTTAGTTTTCATCAGCATGTGGTCACATTATAGAAACCTAGAACCCAGCTGAATCACAGTTAGCTCCAAGTTTTTAAGAACTTTGCCTAGCCCCTATAGGCAGAAGCAATATTCTAAGCAGAACACCCATTTCTTTACACAAAACTTTAAGTACTCTGGATTAAAGTTTTAATAGAATTGATGATTTTCTCTCTTTGGTCTAGCACAATTTTCAGAGATATAGCAAGCACTGTCTGGTCTCATTTTTCTTTAAGGATTTATTTGAGGGATCCCTGGGTGGCGCAGCGGTTTGGCGCCTGCCTTTGGCCCAGGGCGCGATCCTGGAGACCCGGGATCGAATCCCACGTCGGGCTCCCAGTGCATGGAGCCCGCTTCTCCCTCTGCCTATGTCTCTGCCTCTCTCTCTCTCTCTGTGTGTGTGTGACTATCATAAATAATAAAATAAAATAAAATAAAATAAAATAAAATAAAATAAAATAAAATAAAATAAGGATTTATTTGAGAGAGCGCATGCGAGTGTGTGAATACAGGGAAAGGAGCAAAGGGAAAGGGAGAGAGACTCCCAAGCAGACTATGCACTGAGTGCAGAGCCTGAGTTGGGGGGCCCTGTCTCAGGACCCTGAAATCACAACCTGAGTATAAACCAATAGTGGGACACTTAATTGACTGTGCCACTCAAGCACCTCAGCACCTTCTGGTCCCATTTTTTATCCTCTCATAGTTTCTTGAGCTTGTCAAACCATTCATTCATTAATTCAATTTATTCAGCAAATACCTGAATGCCTCATGTGTGCCACATACTATGTGCCACATAGTTCTATAACTAGGGATGTAGCAGTGAGCAAATCAAAAACATACTCTGCCCTCATGAACTTCACAGTTTAGTGAAGGTTGGGAGCAGATGATAATAAAATAATTAAGTGCCATGGAGAAAAATAAAGGAGGGTTAGGGAAATAGGGAACAGAGGAAGAGCTTGCTATTTTTATACAGAATAATCTGACAAGTATAAAAGGCTTGAGGGGGAACATACTTGACATATTTGATTTGAGGATGTAATATCAGGGAAAGCCCAGTATGCCTGGGGTATAACAAGGTGAATATGTTAAGAGATGAAATTATTTCATTCACTTATTTATTTCATTTCAGGAGTTGGTGACCTTCAGAGATGTGGCTGTAGACTTCTCCCAAGAGGAATGGGATTGTCTAAATTCTTCTCAAAGGCATCTGTACAGTAATGTGATGTTGGAGAATTATAGAATCTTGGTGTCCTTAGGTAAGAATATCTTGAGTCCTCACAAAATTGAGCTCCTATTCATAAAGACCTCTTTGCTACCACTGTTGTGAATCTTTGGATAGCGTCTTCAGTGCGTGGCCAAATGTCTTTTGCTGTGCAAAGTAATGGTTTAATATTTGTGGAGTTGCTGGGCGACAGATCTCTTACTAATCTGTGTTGCAAGCTTTAGCTTTCCTATATTTTGAATATACATCCTTTACACTTTTATCTCTGGCTTACTGTAAATTCCCTCTTCCTTGTTGATCAAAGGATTATGAGTTCTGGGGTATCCACAGCATGACCAAATTGTTTCTTTTCATACATGCAGGACTCTGCTTTTCCAAGCCAAGTGTGATATTATTGTTGGAACAAGGGAAAGAGCCCTGGATGGTGAAGAGAGAGCTGGCAAAAGGTTTGTGCTCAGGTGAGTGAAGAGGAAATAGGCAGGCAAAAACCTCTGGAGGTGAAGGCTCAGCTTGTCCTAGAGGTATCACCTCCTTACTCTTCTTTGTTGGCATGTTCTAGGTCTTATTAGAAATGTGGGGTCTTTTAGAGTGTTCCCCCAAATTTGTTATTCTTCACTGTGTCTCCCTTAATACTTTGCTCCCTCCTTTCTAAGAACTCATTTATCTATTCTCTGAGTCGCATTCCTTCCCACGTTCATAAGTTTCTTCTAGTCTTTTAAAAAATCTTTTCCTGATCTGATAAACTTTTGAGCTGTACAGACAGCTACAACTAAAGTGTCAGGTTCAAGTCTTGACTCTTATATGCAGTAAAATTTGGGGCAAATTACTTAACTTCTCTGTACTTTTATTGTCTGTAAAATGGGATATACTTTTAAAGTGCTTTAACAGTTTCTTTTTCATATTGTGAACTCAGACTGTTAGTTACTATTATTGTAGTAGTAGATCTCCAAATGCCTCATTTTTCTCTTGGTCAGTTCATTCATTCTTTCATTCCTTTCATAAACATTTACTGAATTTTTAAATAGTACATGAAAGATGCTAAGGCGCTACATATTTGTAGAAGTTATCAAACAATTGATGGGCTAGTAGCAGAGATATAGTATTAGCTATAAATGGCATATGTGAAAAGAAAGCTGACACAAGGAAGTGCAGAGAAAGAGGTGAGAGGCCAAGGAGTCCAGGTAACTGAGAAGGTGATGGTCTCTAACAAAAACACAGGTGAGAAGCTAAAAAATATTTGAGAGAAAAGAAATTAAGAGTTTAGGTTTGTGGCATAGGAAGGATTTTTAGATAGACATAGGAAGCACTGGGCAGCCCAGGTGGCTCAGCAGTTTAGCGCCACTTTCAGCCCAGGGCATGATCCTGGAGACCTGGGATCGAGTCCCATGTCTGGCTCCCTGCATGAAGTCTGCTTCTCCCTTGGCCTGTGTCTCTGCCTCTCTCTCTCTCTCTCATGTCTTTCATGAATAAATAAATAAAATCTTTAAAAAAAAAAAAGACATAGGAAGCATTGAGGTAAAATGGAAGACTAAAGTTCAAAAGAAAATGCGAGTCACTGTAAATAGCTCTGTTGATACCACTCTGCAACTCACCCACCCCCAGTGCTTTTCTCCAGTATTTTATGTCCTTGTTCAGCTTTTTAAGAACAGTGTTTGATGTGGGACTATAGTGTCAAAGAATATATGGTTAAATTTTATTTATTAATTATTATTAATCACACACATGAATGTATATTAGCATATATACATCATTTAAATAATAATAGAACAAAACCCATGTACCTATCTCTTAGCTTAAGATATAGAATATTGTAAGGTGCCTGGCTGGCCCACCTGGTAGAACATGCTCCATGTTGGGTATATAGATTACTTAAAAAAAAAAAAGGCGCAGCCTTGGTGGCTCAGCGGTTTAGTGCTGCCTTTGGCCCAGGGTGTGATCCTGGAGACCCGGGATTGAGTCCCATGTCAGGCTCCCTGCGTGGAGCCTGTTTCTCCCTCTGCCTGTGTCTCTGCCTCTCTGTGTGTGTGTGTGTGTGTGTGTCTCTTGTGGATAAAGAAATAAAATCTTAAAAGAAAAAAAAGAAAGAATAGAAAATTGTCTATGCCATTATGGGCCTTTGAGGGCCCCACCTAAAGATGCACCATTCCCCACCCATGGCTTGTCCCCACTCATTTTTTTTTTAGTCTCCACCCATTATTGAGGATACCATTATTCTACAAATTCTGCTTATTTTTTCTTGACTTTTCTTAATAGTTGTGCCATATACCCTTTAAAAATATTATATTTGTGTATTTTCAACTTTTTACATGTGAAAATATATGGTGCATGTAATTCTGACTTTTTCTCATCTCAAAATTATATTTCTGAGGGGCACCTGGGTGGCTCAGTTGGTTAAGCATCTGACTCTTGATTTTGGCTCAGTCATGACCTCAAGGTTGTGAGATCGAGCCCTAAGTCCGGCCCTATGATGGGTGTGGTGCCTGCTTGAGATTCTCTCCCTCTGTCCTTCCCCTTGCCCTACTCTCTCCCTCTCTCTCTCTAAAAAGAATTATATTCCTGAGATTCATCCATGTTAATTTTAGTAGCTATTTTTTATCTGCTGAAATGTAATGTATTCCACAAACCACAGTTTGCCTATTGAAGGTCATTTGAGTTGTTTCCATTTTGTGCTATTATAAATGTTAACTGCTGTGAACCTTAAACATGACTGTAGGTGCACATGCTTATATATGGAATATAGCCAGAAATTCACTAGATAATGTTATTTACTTTCCAAAGTGCTTGTATTAACTTACATTTCTTTTTTTCTTTATTAACTTAACATTTCCAGCAGCTGTGTATGAGAGTACTCATTGCTCTACACTCAGAATTGACAAGTTTAAAAATTTTTTTGCCAATTTGGTGGGTGTGAAATATTATCTTATACTGCCATCACTTGATTACAAAATAAATTAGATATCTTATTTTGTATTTATAATGGCCATTTGGATTTCCTCCTTTGTGAAATGCCTGCTCACAATCTTTTGCTCATTTTGGGGAAGGTTGTCTTCTGTATATATGTTTGTAATTTATATTTTTGATTTGACATTTTGTTTAAAATTTTTTTTTGTATTCTAAAGTCATATAGATATTCTCAAATTGTTTTCTAAAGATTTTCCTTTTGTATTTAGGGCTATAATCCAATCGAAATTGATTTTTGAGATTGAAGTAAAAATTTAATTTCTGTGCCTTATGGAAAACCAAATGTCCTAGACTTTTTGAAGAAATGAGCTCTTTTTGCTCAATGTTCAGAATGTTATATCTTAATATATTAAGTTATAGTATATATGGGGGTCTGATTTTGAGCTCCATGTCATTGATCTCTTTTTTTCTTATGCCGGCACCACACTGTCTTAATTAAAATACTTCATTGTAAGACAGAGTGTCTGTTAGGGCAAGTCCCTTACACCTTGTTTATTTCTTCATAATTTCTTGTTTGCTTATTAGCCATCTGAATAAAGTTTAGAGCCAGCTTATTAGTTTCCACCAGAAAACAACAAAAAAAGCGGTTGGCTTTTGATTGAAATTTACTTATTCTGTATATCAATTTTATAAATTTTTCTCTTTTTTTAAAAAGATTTATTTATTTATTCATGAGAGACACAGACTGAGAGAGAGAGGCAGAGACATAGGCAGAAGGAGAAGCCGGCTCCCCGCAGGGAGCCGGATGCAGGACTCAATCCCAGATCCCGGGATAATGACCTGAGACAAAGGCAGGTGCTCAACCACTGAGCCACCCAGGCGTCCCTATACATTTTTCTTTTTATAATTTTTTTTATTCTGTGGTTCCTCTCTGCATTTACTGAGCTTATAAAACTTTCCTTTAGTATGTTTTATAATTTTCTCCATAAAGGCCACATACATCTTCTGTTAGATTCATTCCTGGGCATCATAGTTTTATTACTTTGTTAAATGTTGTGTATATTTTCTATTTGCTACTCATGTATTGAAATGAACTTAACTTTTATACATTGACCTTATATCCAGTAATGTTGCCATGCTCTCCCATTAATGCTAATAGTTTTTAGATTTCTTTGGATTTTTTTCTCTGGGCAGGCGTATCTGTGAATAATGGTGGTTTCATTTTAAATTCTTAAACCTTTAATTTCTTTTTTCTGTTGCCCTTAGATATTCAGTACAATAGGAACTGAAGTAGTGATAGCAGGCATTCTTTTTTTTTTTAAGTTTTAATTTTAATTCCAGTTAGTTAAGGTGTATTATGTTATATTAGTTTCAGGTATACTATAGTGATTCAGCAATTCCATACATCACCCACTGCACATCACAAGTGTACTCCTTAATTTCCATCATGTATTTAACCCATCCCCCTTGATAACTCCCTTCCTCTCTGATAACCCTCAGATTTCTGTAATTAAATCTGTTTCTTGGTTTGTCTTTATCTCTTTTCCCCTTTGCTTGTTTGTTTCTTAAATTCCACATACGAGTGCAATCATATGTTGTCTTTCTCTGACATTTTTCACTTAGCATAATACTCTCTAATTCTATCCATCTCATTGCAAATGGCAAAATTTCATTCTTTTTTATGGCTGAATAATATTTAGTGTGTGTATATATATGTGTATATCAATTTAGTGTATTTACGCTGCTTCCATAATTTGGCAATTGTAAATAATGCTGCTATAAACATAGGGTGGCATGTATCCCTTTGAATGAGTGTTTTTGTATTTTTTAGGTAAATATCCAGTACTGCAATTACTGGATCGTAGGGTAGTTCTGTTTTTAACTTTTTGAGTAACCTCCATACTCTTTTCCACAGTGGCTGCACAGTTTGTATTCCTAACAGTTCACGAAGGTTTCTTTTTCTCCACATCTTTGCCAACACCTGTTCTTTCTTGTGCTATTTATTTTAACCATCCTGACAAGTTTGAGAGGTGATATTTCATTGTAATTTCGATTGCCATTTCCCTAATCATGAGTGATGATGAGTATCTTTTTATGTATCTGTTGGTCATCTGTATGTCTTCTTTAGATAAATGTCTGTTCATGTCTTCTGCCCATTTTTTAATCGGATTATTTGTTTTCTGGCTGTTGAATTGTATAAGTTCTTTATATATTTTGGATATTAACTCTTTATCAGATATGTCATTTGCAGATATCTTCTCCCATTCTATAGGTTGCCTTTTAGTTTTCTTGATTGTTTCCTTTGCTGTGCAGAAGCTTTTTATTTTGATGAAGTTCCAATAGTTTATTTTTGTTTTTATTTCCCTTCCCTCAAGGGAGCTATCTAGAAAAATGTTGCTATGGCCAATGTCAGAGAAATTACTATCTGTGTTCTACTCTAGGATTTTTATGGTTTCAAGTCTCACATTTAGGTTTTTAATCTACTTTGAGGATTTTTTTTTTGGTATGTGTATGGTGTAAGAAAGTGGTCCAGTTTCATTCTTTTACATGTTGCTGT